TGACTTCAATTTTGTGAGAAAGGCATTAAGCCAATCGGAACGCTTAGAGATTTTGATTTGCTGAAATTTTTCCAGCGTTCCGTCCCTCCAGCATGAGAACCCTCCCCCACCCCCAGCTATTTCTTTGATTACTGTTTAATTAAATTTTACGATCGTTAAGTTTAGAAAGAAAAATATCATTGTTCACACAACCTTACGCTTGTCTTATGAAACGAGTTCAATTTTGTTTCAGTCTAATTCGCATGAATTAGCGCTTAGTTTATTCAAGTTGAGTATCTGAATACTGCTTGTGAGTACAGCATGGGTTTCATCCCCCTTGAAAATTCAGGCAAAATGAAATAAAGCTTATTCCTTTTTAGTTTCACCAGCCAGGGAAACTAAAAAGGTTTTCGGTACTTACATATTACAATCATTCGACATTTAAACAACGGCTAAAACTTTAAGAATGAACTGAAATTATTAAGTAACTTTCATGAATAAAACACAACTTGCAAAGTATAACAATTCATAGGGCTGAACCCAAGTTGGTCTAAAGGAGCCTCCGTAGGGTTGACCGAGACCGTAGCGACCAATGAGTTGGGAGAAGTATTCTTAGGCAAACTTTGCTGCGTACCTCCATCGGATGCTTTCGCAGAAATCGCCTCAGAAGGAGTTGCCAAATCTACAATTCCCGAAATCATGGGCGGCATTTCCACCGTGCCGATTTTGCGGACGTCCATTTTAAGGATGGGCACTTCAGTTTGTTGGAATTCACCAAGGGCGTTCGTCCGAGTCCTCTTCGAATAGGCTTGTGAAAACTCAATCTCCCAATAGGTGTGGTGATTGTATTGATCTTATCAGTCGAATGATGTGCGTAATTAGGTTCGGTTGATTAAGAGGTGGCGGCGAATGTATTGGGGTTGATTACTTTTGTTTTGCGGAACCTTTTGTTTTGTCGTTCTTGTTTATCGACTTTGGCGAAGCTAGTTTAGGCAGTGTTTTCGGGCGGTCGTGCTCGGATGGTTGACTTTGTTCGACTTGCTGTAGCGGATGCAATTGCTGAAGGTGTTAATATGATTTCACTCTCAGGTGGGCGCGACTGATCTGATCGGCAATTTTCAGGTAGTATTGGCAGTGCTGCTAGCCATTGCAGGCTGTACAGTGATACTACAATTGACCAGCTTTGCAGTAGTATTAGGCGTCGTGGATTTACCTGGATTCTTGATAATCACTGTGGGGCTAGGATTCTCGAACTTCGGTATCTTGTCAATCTTTTTCGGAGACGATTGATGTTAGAATTGGTAAGATATTCTTGCATGCCTTCGAGAACTCGGAGATCACTGGAATTTTAATCGGATTCAATGTCTGGGTGATTCCGGGATAGTGATAACTTTCAGTCCGGTCATTTGAGCTTCTTCTTCTTCTTCTTCTTTAAGAAATCTTCCTCTTGAGCTGCACATGGCTGCGTTCCATTTGATCAAATCGAATTCCTCGATTTGGCCTGTTTGTTTCGGGAAGTTTGACATGATTGTGAGCTCGTGAAATTTTTTTTTCTAAAGTTTATTCTCGGGCCTTTGGTGGCGTAACTTTTATCAATTTGCCTTTCTTCATTGGGCTTATAGTCACATCTTGGTAGCTAAATCAAGTTTATGCATAAATTAAATGTTTTTATTGGGTAATCATTTGGTCTGAGTCTCTTGCTAATTCGTCAGCAAGTTTTTAATTGAATAGTTAGTCTTTTTTTCGATCTTGAACCTTTCTAAACATTTTTTTTCCGACCGAGTGGGTCTTTTAACGTCTTAAAAAGTCCTAAGGCTGTGCAATTTTTTGACTTTTCCAAGCTCATCACAGAGCTGCCAACGCTGGTTGGTGTAAATAAAAATATCGTATCGCTAAAAAATTCATCCGATGAAATTACTGAGTGATCTACTGTAATGTCTTCAGTGTGGTCATGGGTATCCCAATCATCAGCTCCAGTTCAGCTCATTAGCTTTTTTCCTTTATATAAGCAAATCTTAATCCGGCCCAAATCAAGTTTTGTTTTGTCGGAGCTTTGATAAAATGAGCCAGATTGTATTAGGTGCCCTGTCAAAATGAGCTACAAAGAGTAAACCCTTGAAAAACTCTGCTCAGCAGTTGTTAGTCATATTAGTAAGACTTTGGTTTTTCGAGGGACATTACTAAAAGTCTCTCTTTGATGTTTCTTATTAGGTGCTCGATCAGTCCCTGGTCCCCCACTGGGCTAACTTTTATACTTTTTTTCTACTTCTTTGGCGCTACATCTCGATCTTTGATCAGTTTTGATCTTTCTAGGATTATCATGCAGTGCTTAATAGTTTTGTAAAAACTTTATAATAGTTTACGGGGGATGGGGGGAGTTCTCTGACATCTGACAAAGGTAAAAAGGTTTCAAAATCCTATCGGCTTTCAAGCACTCTTAACAATTCGTTCTGGCAAAAAACTTGTGTAAAATGGCAAATTTCGATTTTTAAATAATTCTTAGGACAAGCGATATCTCGTTTGCGGTTATCAAAAGTTCCTTTTTTTCAAAAACTTTCAGCACTAAATTTCTGTCTGTCTGTCTGCACTTAGTTTTCCGGCAATTGAAATAAGTTTGAAGTTTCGGTTGCCTTTCTGTTTTGTCACCAGAATAGGTATCAGATAAATTTATAAGTTCATTTACAGAGGTACCATCTTCTAAACTTAATGAGTCAGAGTTTGTTGAAACTGAATCGGTTATTTTCAAAGAAGTTTGAAAAATTAACTGTTTTGCAGTCAACCATGCACGGTTTTTATCTGCAATGCAAACTTTGGCAAACGTATTTTGCTTGATCGCGTTTTACTTAGAACTCTTCAGCAGCGTATTCAAATAATTGTTCACGTTCGATGTCTTTGGTATTTTTGTTCTCACTAATTTGTCGTCTGAGATTGGTGTAGGTTTTTTTGTGGAATGGCGTGAAACGTAGTCGACAAATCATATACCTTTTCTTGACTTGCGTTCAACCTAAAAGGAGTTTATTAAAACTTGATCCACACTTTTTTAGTGAATCATCTGCTTTAAATTATAACGGGTACTGAATAGCAGTTTTGATGGTTAATTTATAGCCAATTTCATTGCTATGGTTTGCAGTTGAGGCCCGAGTTGTGATACCTGATTCTTCTATTAAAACATCGTTTCCTAGGCGATTTTGGCGCCTCTGTTAGATATAATTTTTTAATTATTTTGTCTTCCCTCCGTTTGTCTGTTTTTCGAGAATAATTTTTCCAGTCACGTTATTGGTACTTCCAAATTTTTGATATTCTTTTCTGGGAATCTGATCTGCTGGTTCAATTTGTAAGAAATGATAAATGATTTTTAATTCATTAAGAAAATTCTCTTTGATGAAAGACACTGGACTTGCTGAAGCGTTTTGAACCTTTAGTTGATAATCGTCT